TTATCTGAATTTATATGAATCTTGTTCATTTTTACGAGTGTAACAATCGGAAAAAACGTCAACTGTCACCGAGTGTCACTTTAAATTTTGACCACCTCGACTTCAAAGTGCCGACACAAGCCTTCGCTTCTGTAATAGGTAGGTTATTCTGTGGTATTATACTGTTATATGACCAATGATGCTGAAGTTGATGTTTATTTGATATCCCTTGACAATCATTTATATAACACTGTGCGTGGGCCTAAGTACCATGTGGTAACCCACCCTCCATACGTTACAGATACATATATAATACTGTGTTCCTTTTCGTTTAGCTTTGCCTTCTTTTAATCCTAATGTTGTGATGTTGCCCTTTGAGTAAAAATGGAAGAATACATTTATTTTTAAAAAATAAATTATTTTTGTAGAACTGATTAAGAATATTTTATTTTCGTTTATGAAGATAGCCATATTTATTTATCATAAATATTACCAGAATCAAACATTACCTATGTTGATCGTGTCAATTAAGTGAAATAAGCAAACTGTTGTAGTTGTCCTTTATATCATATAGTTAAATATTCTTATGTACCTAACTAGCTCCTTATATCAAATAAATACCAATTTAGAAATCAGCATTTATGTATTAAAATTGTGTGAATAGGTTTTGGACAAGATCATAATGAAAAAAATATTTCATGACGCTGATGAGAGGTAGACAATGAAAACAAGTGGATAATTAAAAAAATAGTTCTTTATAATTTTCGGACAAGGATATTTCAAAAAGTAATTTTGTTAAAAAATTGAAATTTTAAAGTTTTAATTGCTTTCAGTTTCCGAGAAAAAATCAAAGAGCTTTAAATTTTGAAATATAATAAAAATAAATGCATTTCTTAACAGCACTATTCTTAATATAATCCCGAAATATAAGCTCTTAATGATTTTTTAAAATTCGTTAAAATTAGTGGCTAAAACGGCTCGTTAAGTGCTATCTTTTGGTGTAACGCGCCTGTAACTATCGTATCGTATACTTTCAGTTTCTTGCAATGATTTACACCAGAGGCGCTTTAGCCACTAATTTTTTCGTATTTTAAAAAATCATTAACAAGACATTAAGAGCTTAAATTTGGGGATTATATTAAATATAGTGCTGTTGAGAAATGCATTTATTTTCATTGTCATATTTCGAAATTTAATGCCCTTTTATGTTGCCAAAATTTTAATTTTTTAAGAAAATTATTTTTTGAGATATCCTTGTCTGAAAATTATAAGGAGTGATGCAATCACCTAAAGTTTTTTCTCTTTGGTATTAAGAATTAGCCTAATTTTAATAGTAACAACCAGGGGCGGTCTCTCCATTGGTTCATTTGTGCAGTGAACACCCAGTTAAATTTCATAAAAACACATTATTTTAAAATTACATAAATAGCGTAATAAATAAATAACTGTGGCACAGTATACCTAAGTATACTGTGTTTGTGGCGCATTATGATGAGTGAACCTAACACGATTGAGACGATTTGGCGAATGCATATAGCTAAAAAGAGAAGACAACACGCCAACAGATCCTTCAGCCTGCAAAAGAACACATTAATTGGCGCGCCGCTCACAAACAAGGTTGCCAAACCAGTGTTGCCAGTCTAGTACAATTCACAATTGTACTAGATGTAGTACATTCTGCGTACATCAGTTTTCACGTGTTAAATATGTATATACATACGTGTTCCTTATTTGGGTTCGTTATCAATAAAGATCCCTTTTGTTTCCTCTTCAATGAATTAGATATCACTGCAAATAGAATTCGAAAATTCTGATACATTTAAGGAATCTGGTACATTTTTTAGACAAATGTAATATAAAACAAAAACATATTATGGCAACACTGAACCAAATCAAACAAACTGTCATTCCGTCTTCCGTCATTCCTCTACTATGAAACGCTTTTAATAAAACTAAAATTATTTTATTTATCCTCATTTAAAAAAATGTGTTTAATTAAGAACTGTGACATTAATAAATTGAAAGTAGGCATATCAATTCAACGATTGTTCCCGTAAAACTTCTTTAAGGCAAGATAAATAAAAGTATTTTTAAAGTTGTTGTTTTATTTAACTATAATAACGTTTTGTGAATCTAATTTGTTTTATATTTGTGTTCAGGACCATTCTAAGACTACTTCAAAATAGTCTATTTTGTACCCAATTGTAAATACTATGAAGTAAGAAGTAAACAAAAAATTTGTCATTTTTTTGTTTTCCCCAAAACCCGCTAAAAGGAAAAATTTCATTATTCTGATAAGGTAACTACTTGACAAAATGGAAATGGAAATGTACAATAAACATTTGATAAAAGTAAAGAAACAAATGGTTTTTCACTTTAAAATTCTGAATCAGAAAAATGGATCAACCAGTTAATTTAATATACTCAATGAGAAATTTTACCTAAGAAATGGTATGTACATTTAAATAGTTTATATAAAGTTATGTTTGCCTGTAATTATCAATCGTGTTACCCTCTAGTCTAGATTGTTGCATACAAACCTGAAATCTTTTATTTTAATAACATTTTTTTATTGCCTTGATTGTATATTTAAGTATTTTCAAAAATATTAGATGTATTGGTAATTTGGATCACTGTAGGTATTAAATAAAAATAAGGCTGTTGGTAAATTAGTTTACAGTTGGTAATAAAGTATGTCTCGAAAAGAGCAATAAGTATCAAACATAAATTTTGATTTTGATTAGGCACTTAACAAGTCACATCCCACATATCTACATGCTCTGGGTAATCAATCCTATAAGTACATATCAAAACATTAATATACCTACTATCTACAATCAAACAATAATTTGAAAATACAGATGAAGCCGATTCATCTATTTAGACAAAATAACTAGTATTCTGTTATTTATTAAAACACATTATTTTTTAGTAAACATGGACATGCAAAAGTCTGCAATGAGGGTAGGACAGTAGCGAGAACAATAATACTTTGGAATACGGAAAATATGGAAAATTAAGTGTGATAACATTTTACGTTGTGTATTTCAATATTTTAGTTTACAGATTTCTGTTAATGTTCAATTATATGCTGCTATTTCAAATTTTTAGTATCCTTTGATAAAAGAAGTTGAATATTATTGTTGTCATCTTTAAACTGTTTATTTTACCTTATACATTTTTTTTCTACCCTTCATACAGTATTCTGTGAAGAGTATTTATTATAGGTTTACTTTGACCGTCTGTCCGATGTCATGTTTTTTGTCTGCACGATAAGTCAAAAACGAGAAATGATATCAACTTGAAAATTTTAAGCAAAAATCAAGCTCTATAAAGAAACAAAGCCTATTTTAACAAAAATAGGGGGTTAAGATGGGTTGAAATTAAAAAAAATCCTAAATTAAAAACGAATATCGATATCAACATAAAATGTTTAGTAAAAATAAAGCTTTATAAGAAGATAAAGCCTCTTGATAATGAAAAAAATATGAATATATTGGGGAGTTAAAGGGGGTTAAAATATTAAAAAAAAAACCTAACTGGAAAACGAAGCCCTTTAATTATAAAAAACTGATTAAATATGGGGGATTTAAGGGGAGTTGAAATTAAACAAAAAAAAATTAAAAATTAGAAGCGATATCAAAATGAAATTTTTAGTAAAAATCAAGCTCTCTAAAGAGATGAGGCCTATTGATTGTAAAAACAATCTGGTTGAAAATGGGGGTTAATGGGGTCTGTTAAACTGCGAAGAATATAATTTAGAATGCCAGACATTATATATCTTTATTCTAGTTTGTGTCTGGGTAATATTATGTATTATGATGGGACTGGTCTTATAAAATAAATATTTAAAACATTTTAGTTCATATTTTATTTACCAATAAAAAGTATTTAAAAATTATATTTTTTATTTGACATCTGTGACAAATTGTGAAAATGATTAACCTTACAATAAAAACTGAAAAATAGTAGGTAAAGTTTCAAATGATATTTTTTACACAAAAATCATTGTCAAGCTTTCTACATAACCTGATATATATTTAAAAATAATCTCAAATTATAAAGAAAAGTCCATTTACTAACTAATAATGTTTATAGATGGTTTTCAACGTATTAAAAACAAAACAAATATTGTACTAACTAAAATATTCATTTAGTAATGTTGTAGTGCTTGCAAACAGTATGATGTTGATAATAATAACTACACTTAATACAAACTCAAATAGTAAAAAAAAACAGCGATATTGGCTCTTGTACAAAGTATTGAACCGAACTTACAAATGATAAAATTATTGGAAAAGTAAACACCTATTTTAAATTACCACGAGCCGCCACTAGTAACAACTTTTCGTTTTTGCAGAGCTATTCACAGGATCACACGAAATACTGAATTCTGTTTCTATTTTTTTATATACCAATTTTGTGAAATAGTTCGATATCATCCTTGTTGTAAGAGATATTTAAAAATATATTAACAAAATTTGTAGGATGGCTTCTGAGCCACATTTTAAAATAAAATAAACATATACATGGTGTTGCATGACTCAGGTGCGAATCAAACATATGTTTTTTTAAACTAGAACACCAGTTTAATATTTTAGATTAAGATTGCTTTAATTTTCTCCATCCTACCCATATATGATTGGTGTAAGTTTTATAGAGTACTCTAAAAATAATTATTGGCACTTGTGTATGAAAATCGTAAGTAAACCAACGTCCTGTAGCCAATGAAAAAATAGTTTTTTTATCTACAAGAGTTTTTTAATATCATGTATTACACTTTTCTTTTGTCCCTTGATTTTCATTTAAAAAAATTTAAAAATCTAAAAAAAATTAAAAACCTAAAAAAAATTGGCGTGCCAAATTTTTTTCAATTTTTCAATTTTCTTTAAATTGTCTACTCATTTACTTTAAGCAGGTTATATTAAAATACAACAATTATAAAAAGATTTTTAAAAAATCTTAAATCTGTTTTCATTTTATCAAGGCACAACGTGGCGACAGTAAGAAAAAATACATACCCACAATTTGTTGCAAGAATCTAATCTCATCCTGTATACGGAAATTATTCCACTGCAATTTACTTCCCCCCTAGATGATCCGTGGAAAGACCAATCAGGATACGCCCTAAGGACGGGACTCGAACCTTTGTGGGTGTTTCTAGGAATGGCGGCCAAAGTTGCTGGCACCCCTGCACGCAATCTTGGCATTGCTAGAAATATTCTATCATCTGTTATTTCCAGCCCGGTAAAAAGGGTGTTTTCAGGCCTACAAAAAAATTTAAATTTAAGTAGTTATGCGATACAGGTAGAACTAAAAAGTTCGCAGTACAGTATTTATTTGCTTAACGACTTAACTATATCACAGATATTACCATAGATGCGAAACCCAGCAAAAAGTCAAAGGATTTGGAGATGAGAATTGAAAAAATAACCTTGAAACTTTAAATATGTATTGACGAATTGATGTATGTTTTGTCACATAATGTTCTTAAAAGTAAGAGATACCGTCTGGATAAAATCAACGATGTGTCTAGGTGTACGCTAACGTGTAAAAAATAAAAAACTTGGGTAGGGTCCGATTACAATTAGAAGAACACCGCTACGTCATAACCATTACTTCGAATTTCGAGTACATATTATCTATAACTATCAATAAATAAAAAATAAGTAACATGTTATGTATAAAACAGTATTTCCTAAAATCTTATAGTATTAACACTCCACTAAACCCCTAGTAGGTGGCGATAACCAATTAATTACTTTGCCAAATGATGACGTAGCTGTGTTCTTCTAATTGTAATCGTACCCTACACGCTAAACGTCATCACTGGTCGCCGTGATGTATTTTAATAAAAATTGGCATTCTATAGGCATGAGTGGGCTGTTTATGTTAATCGTAATGGAAATTTGTTAAATAGAACAAATAATCGTATAGAATGTTCATCTTTTTAAATTCACATGAGAGAGAGAGAGAGAGAGAGAGAGGAATGATCGAACGTTTGATTCTGACAAGACCTATAACAATATTTACCCAAGAAAGTGATGAATTTTTGTACGAGCAGTACCTAACTTCGTACGCAAATACCTATATTCAGTCACACATAATATCTGCATAAAAGTATAAATATAATGTGTGGGTAATGAGTGATCTAACTGTTACAAAGTTCTTTCCAGAGAACTTTCTTGTACAGTCACTATAACCAAATGCACATGCATATATTTCACGTCATGTTACTTCCTTGAAAACATCATTTGACAAAAATGTGTGCCGCAAAAGAAGGACAAAATAATTTTATCTGAAAAATCAACGAGTGTATACTGGTAGTTGCAACGCAACACCGAAATCAGTTTTAATAATAGAAACTAAAATCAGCAATGTAAAATCTGAAAGCCAAAAACGGAATAAAGCTCTTTTTCTCACAAATTTCTTGGCAAATTTAGCAAGCCTTTTCAACACTAGTCTCTTCAATTACAAAATGAAAATAATTCAAGACATTGAAATGTATTGGAGGAAAGGTACTGAGGTTGTGGTGCATCCTATTACTGATGAATCCCAAAGTGACACCAATGGGACAGATGAACCAGCTCATACGTTAGTAGCAGTACCTGATGCCAAAATAGAGATTGTTGATCAAATGCATGATACCTTATCTTTTAACAAAAAATATAATATAGTGAACATATCTAGTGTCGAAAAGAGTCCAACAATTGGTAATTATCTTTTAAACAAAGCCTCACGCCTATAAGGTTTAATTTAATTTTCTTTGTCGCAGATGAATCGTTTGAAAATAAAGAAGTTAGTGAACTTGTAACAGGTTCAATTCAAGACAGACAAAGTAATGAACTCACAGAACCTGAAACATCAGGTGTCTGCCGCGATTAAATCATAAAGTACACAGTACGAACTTAAGTATGTATGACAAAGATGACGTTATTAATTTATTTTTGCTTCTCTTTTAGTTATAAGCAACATTAAGTTTCCACTCAAAATTAAAATAAAAGGTACACCAAGATTTGCCGAACAGTCATGTCATAGGCATCAAATAGAAACGTACTAAAAAATAATCTCGTCCGATCATTATTTATATACCTACCCATTATTATCCATTTCATAGGAATAATGTTATTGTATATGCTTAGTAGTTGGCTTGTCTCACTCTTAACATATAAGAAACTAAGAATTACAGTGCATGATGTTAATTTTGTATGCAATTAAAGGTGCACGTTAAAAGACTACATCATGGACAGGGATGACGTTTTAGCGTGTACCTACGTTTTTTATTGCGTGCAGGTTAGCGTGTACCTAGACAACAGAGCTGGGGAGGATTCGAATCACATAGGATTCAAATCCAGGATTCGAATCCTTTTTGAGGATCCGAAAGAGGGATTCGAATACTTTAGAAAAAAAGGATCCGTGATCCGGATTCGCAAAGAAAATCCTAAAGGATTCGTATTCGAATCATCAATATCAGTCTCGGATCCTTTTAGAGACCAAACTACGACGGCGCTAACGGCCGACTCAAGCTTTGACTTGTCGCGAATTGTAAACTAAAAACTAAAATAGACTAAGACTAAATAGAAAACCGATGTATTTGGCGTTGTGCACGATTACAAAATTAACAAATAATCTGATACAGATCCTCAATACAGGTAAGTGAAAAAAAATTCTGCATCCACATGTAGGTATATTATTTATTTTTCTAATTTTTGCACGATATACAAAATAAATATGTGGGCGATATTAGTCTATTGAACGAATATAATATATAATTATATCCATTCTATGTTTTCTATCAATAACAATTCATTACTTAATGTCAAGTTGACTATTTTTTTTATTATTTAAATGAGTTTTAGTTATTAATATAAAATATAATTAAAAATTAGTGATTCTTGTGAAAAATTCTAAATGTGACAGCCAGCTTCGTTTTTCAGCTTCACGTTTTAAATGTTTTTATTTATTTATTTATTTACGGGTCAAAACTCATTTTACAGAATTGTATAACAAAGTTCCTTAACAAATATAAGACAATTGGCAGTATTACAACGAGTTATAAATAATAATATACACGGCAGTGGCGTAACTATCATAAGACAAATATTGCAAATATTTGAAGCCTAATATTTAGTTTTTTTTTAAACTCTCGAGAACTTATAATAATTTGCAACTTAATTACTACTTAGTTTAAATTGAAACTTGAGTCTCTTTGATAAAAAGAAATATTATGTTGTCATATGTAAAACAAATAAAAAAAAATGAGGGCTGTTGTTTTATTTTTGATTAGTATTCGTGATTTGAAACTGAAGTCTTTATGTATTTTGCATTAGGGCCAAAAAAATATAGTTACGTCATTGACACACGTGTCTCAAAAAAGTTTTATAGAAATGGGAAAGCTTTATTTTACTTTTTACAAAAAATTCTGCATCGCTTTGAAAATATAGGTGGTATAAAGAAAAATTAAAATCGTAATTTATAATGAAGAGTAAAATACTTTTAAATTTCAGTATAGAGCAAAATATGAATTAAAAACGTTAATAGGAATTAAGAAATATGCTTCAGTTTAAATTATTGCACTTAATATTAATTGACTTCTATTTACTTATTTACTTTATTTAATAATTAATCCAAAACCAATGCTAAAATTTGTATTAGAAATTTTTTAATTTTACAATTTTATTTTTATTATGTATTTCCAAGTGATGCAGAACTTTATATCAGTAATATTTTCTTTGTAAAATGTAAAAATATATTTTTCCCATTTGTATAAAACTTTTTGAAACACACTGTATGTAGGAGTACCTTCGAGTACACCTCTAAAACGTCACACAAATGGCACGCCATACTTATTAATTAATACCACAGTATAACACTGACAGTGATTCGTATCCGTGATCCGAAAAAAAGAATTCGAATCACTTGATTCGAATCTTTTTTTTTTTTTTTTTTTTTTTTTTGAAAAAGGATTCGAACATTGTATCCGTGATTCGAATCACATCTCGTGATTCGGATTCGAATCCATTTTTCGAGGATTCGTCCCAGCTCTGCTAGACACTGCGTAAAATGAAGGAGATAACCAAGAAATATCGTAAACCAAAAAAGAACAGCTCGTAGGAGCAACAAACAGATTAAAACCCAAATAATTAAGAACAAGAAATTTCCACGAATGCAGGTAAGTATATAAAAACGGTAGAATAAGAAAATCTCGCATGACAGACAATACTGATTCATAGAATATGTTCCAAGTATTGCAAAATAAGAAAAATACCAAGAAAAAGATGGTTGTACTGATCCCGCTATTTTGGTGATTTTTTCAGATAGTTGTATTGTTCAGCTTCTTTTGAAAAATAATTACCTGTAGTTAATATTTCGATAGAACCATCACTTGTAATTATTGTTAAATTTACAGGTACTTACCTTATGTCGGCATAGTCAAAATGATAAGGCAAATCAAAATCCAGAAAGTTCCATTGGTTAACAACATCCATTTGTATGCTTGACACTGATTGTACATAAATACATAGCGTAGTGATTATCCAAATGTTCAGCAACATATTGCAACCATGTAGGTAATCTGAAATAAAACGATTGCAATAATTAATTTAAACAATAATGTTTTAGTTAATAAAGTAGAACCCCGATTATCCGAGGTAAAGTGAGGAGGATCTGCCTAGGATAATAAAAAACCTGGATAAACCGTGACACGGGTGAGGCTGGCTAGAGGTTCCCCGATGATTTTAAGTGAACATTATGTAAGAGTCAAATTTAAACCCAAAAGCTGAGCTTGTCCGGGAAGGGACGGAAATTATTATTCTTTGCCGTAGCGCTTCGGGGCGATTTAAATATGAGTGATGGTGCCATTTGACAGTCTTAAGTACGTACAGTTTTGGTACTGTACGTACAGGACGTAAAATGTACGTTTTAAGTACGTACACAATAGTACGTACCATTACGTACAGAAAATACGTACTAAGTACATACATAAGTGTACGTAATCCTGGTTGCATACCTATTTTATTAAAAAACCTATAGTTTTTACCAAATTTCTGTTGACCGTAGGCCAAAAAAATACAAAGAAGAAAGAAAGAAAGAACACAATTTATTTAGCCTAACCTAAACTCTAAACTATACTTGCTCGTTGCAAGCAACCACGTTTTAACGGTTTCAACAGTTTGTTTTTGTTAGTTATTCATATTTAAGTATTTAACTATTAAGTGTTTCTTTAAATAAATAATTATATATAATTTATTATAATAAGATTGAACAAGACAGTTCTTTAGACTTTTTAGTGCGTGTTATAAGTACATAGTTTCGTCATTTTATTCTGGCGAGTGGTTTCATTTTAAATTTAATAAATATAATTTATAGATAAGTCATCCCATCCCATAGTAAACATTACAAAAATGCTACAAAACAATTGAAAAATTTTAAGAGAATGAATAAACAGGAGGTATCTAATATTTTAGACAAAAGTAGTGGTATTTTACAGATCCTAATAATTTAATTTTGGATTTTGTCAAAAGGAGTATGGTTGCTACCTTAATAACTAATCAGCTGGCAACAAATTGTAATTGGCTGCAGTTGTAGTGGGTAAGATATTTTGATATTTTAATTTTGCATGCCAGTTTCCATAAAGTAGTTGCATTTAAAAACCCTCTATCCAGTCACAATTATTTTTGTATCTAATGAAAGTGTGTACTTCCAACCATTGGACTTCAAAACTGACGGAAATCTAGCCTAACAAAAAGAAATATAGGAGTAAGCATAATGTCGAGACAGGTGGATACAAATGAGAGAGGTTTAGATCCAGAAGTATATTGACAATGATAATTTTGAGCCGTAGAAACTATCGCTTACTTTACTCTAAATCTTTTTGCTATACTGTTTTTATTATATTATTTATTATAGAAAGTACCTAGGTTAAGTTTTTAATTTGATATTATTTCTTTGCAGAAGGTGCTATAAAAAGTAGAAAATACAAAGAGAAGAAAGGTTTCAGAACAGGAAATTGTTAGATGATAGTCTAAAAACTTTTAAAAAAGATAGCAAAACAATTTAAATTACTCTTTTATGTAAAAAATTAAATAAATACAAATTAACTTGTTTACTTTTCTTTGCATTGCACTAATACGTACCAATAAGGATCTAAAGTACGTCTAGAATATGTACTCTATTGGAATAAGTACAAACATAGTACGTACATTGTATGTACATTAAGTACGTACACAGTACGTACAGAGTACGTACATTAGGTACGTACAGAGTACCTATATTAGGTACGTACAAAGTACGTATCTACTTTAAGTATGTAAGTACTTCGTACAGTAAAGTACGTACATGGTACCTATTTTACGTCCCATCAGTACGTACATAGTACGTCTTATGTACGTATGTGTGTTTGCTGGGTTTCTTTCAGATCTGTCTGAATCAGATAATTCAAATATGTTGTGTTTGTCATACATATTCTTATTATAATGTCCTATACATTTTTTGTTGTATTTTAAATCAAAACATGATGATTCTCTGGAACTCAAATATTTTTTGTATGGCGCAAACCTACAATCACTGGCTACATTCAACTTATTACGCAAATTTACTTGAGAAAATTGCCGGGATATTGCTGGCCTTTCGCTGTAATTGAAGAGAAAATGAATGCGACGATTAAACGATAGAAGCCTACTTTTGGCCTTTCGACAGTGGCCCAGAGCATTGTTGCTTGATGATGGCCTTATGAAGGGTAAGTAACTGTATTGGGTAAAAGCATGGTAAAACTCAAAAGGCTTTTAACTGCCGCAGACCCAACGCCAACAGTCGTCCCGTGTTCATAGATGGAGACATCGATGATCGTTTGTTACATACTCAACGAGTGGACATGTACTGAGCCAAGTCTCGCATTGCTGGTATTCAGTATTCATTGTAATTTTTTACTTTTACATGTTAATTTAGAATATTTCATTATTAATTTTTTTGAAGAAGACATTTTTTCAGTATTATATTATATAGCTGAATTAAATAAAATGTCTACAACATTCTATATTGAACTGCCTTTTGTTTTTGTATAGAATTTATAGTTCAAACGGTACTACTGGCCAAAGAGGCACTATCGAATATCCTGATCCTAATCATGTACCTGACACATGGCCTTTATTAATATTGTAAAAGGCCAGCAATTTCCCGTTAACTTCCCATCAATAGACCATTAATTGCCAATATATTTATTTCTAGACATTAAAGGGGAAATGAAGGCCCATTAATTGGTTATGATGGCAAAGTGACTTCGACCCGACTGTCGGCCGTAGTGACCTATATATGCCGGCCTTTTAATTATATAAGTCAAATGGCCATCAATGTAATTGAAGCGTGACAGTTATTGGGCCTTTAATTCTCCTACACAAAATGTTTGTTAGGATCCTTTGTACATTTCCTGAAGAACGAGGCAAACGTAATAAATTAAGAATAAAATTTGCCAAGTTGGCGATAACAGTAGATTTCATGCCTAAAACAGTAGAACAGTGTAGAACAAAGACAAAAACAGTAGATATAGGTACTGTTGAAATAGTAGGTGTGGCAACACTGCACTGAACGCCAACTGAACGAAGTTTATAAATCCAGCTTAAGGGCTTAAGGTGGCAATCCTCCCATTTAAAATCTACTATATAAATATTTATTAAAACAAAAAGCAGCAAATTTTCATAGATTGAAAATAGAATGGCGCATAAATGTTTTTTTTTTAATTCCTTTTAAAAATTTTCAAAAAAATTACTTTTTGAAGGTTTGCAAAAAATTTAAAGTTTCTCCACCCTAAGTTTTGTTATTTTTGGTATTTCCTGAAAATTTCATAAAAATCGAACTAAAAATAAAAGCTCCAACTAGAGGAGAAAATAATGTTTATATTTATATGTCGCTTATAAAATAAGTTTTTCAAGTGCGATGGTGGTGTAATGGTCAGCATAGTTGCCTTCCAAGCAGTTGATCCGGGTTCGATTCCCGGCCATCGCAACTTTTTTTTTATTTTTATTAACACAATAAATTTTCTATTTTCAACTAGTTAGGTACACACATATTATATATTATGGATTTTATTTTCTTTAACCGTGATCTGTGTTCTCTTTTTTATGTAAGTACATTAATTATTATTATTATTAATTATTGTGTTACGTACAACCAGTTTAATAATCAACAACTAGGTGCACCTACCTACATAACACATTTTTTTTGAGATAATATTTTAAATATGTAGAAAAATATGCAAAATGTCTACTTAAATTGAAACTATACAATATGTTTAATACATGGATCCTTCGAAATTAAGATGAGACGCTTAATTATATTTGCACGTGAGCTAAATAAGGAGAGATTCTCGTGAATCGGCTGCCTGTATGCCGTGATTAAACAGATGGATACACATCTATCGCTAGTGGGCTGGCGCGCTGTCTAATCAATGGCATCGTTTATTCTACACCGTTCTTCCGACGTAATTGTATGAAACTAAACATACTGTATAGAAAACTTTATTTTTGATATCTAAATGTATCAAAAGGGCCCCGCACTTTTTATATTGATTTTGGTTACTGTCAGAATGTGTTCAAATTTAAGAATGTTATTTTTTATTAACTAATATATTTTATAACCATTCTATGTACCTACTGAGAACACTGCAAAATAATGAAATCCGCCAATGACTTATTTTTGTGTAGAATCGATAAATAATAGCATTTCTATTATTATTTATACTATAATTATAAATAATTTGTTAATTTTAATAATACTCTATGAAGTCAATTCAATTACGAGTATTAAAAAAATTTCCCAAATATGCCGGTGGATGGATAGTGAGAGTATCTGACTTCTATGCGAAAAACCCAAGTTCCAGCCTCGGCTGGGGACTTTTAAATTAAATCTTTTTCTTTATTTATTTTAAAAACTATTAAAAGTTATAAATTCTTTTATAATTAGTTATTTTGTCTTAATTACCTAAAATATTTTTTTATTTGTAAATTTTCGTTAGTGGTTCGAAGAAAAAATATACTGCACCACTCAAGTGGATTGTCTGCACACGATTGAGCACTCCGTTTTCATTAACCATGGATAGATATTTGTGCAATTTTAAGAGGAACAAAGGGTCTACCTTTAACAATGTTCTTAAGAAATGTTTGAATTGGTTATTTTCTAGAAAACCGATAATAACCATGTTATAACCATATAATCGTTTTATTGAATTCTACTTTTATTTGTATTTTTTAACCACTTTGTTCAGAATAGTGATTGACACAGTTGCCATTTGGTAAAGTACAATTTTTTTATATGCCTTCGCGGCATATTTTTCGTTATCAGATGACGGTTAAAATTTGTAATGGGCACTTGGGCTATTATTTTTGTTTAAAATAGTAGGTAATTGGTTTCAATAAATTTAAAAAATGGTTCGGTGTTTTATGTCTTAACACATTTCTTTCAGTTTATTTTTTATTTGAAGATGGTTTCATAGATAGTTAATGTGTTATTACACATTTTTTTTAAATTCTGTTTCTTTTATATTGATTAATGATTTATTGGTCCAAAATCTATGCATACTTAGAAGCTGTTTTTGTACTAAATATTATTTATGTATTTCTGTTAGTTATAAAAATTTTTTTAGTCACTAATAAAAGATAAAAAAAATTCATAGTAATACGTGAAAGTGCTATGTATTTCAATAACTAATATTCTATTTTTTTAATATTCCTGTTCAATTTATTTTGCAAGTAAGCATGAACGAACTATATAAAGTTTCATAAGTTTTGTGGAAAAAATATAAATTCCTTAAGAGTGGTACCCTAATTTTGACTCCTTCTAACAGCTGACCCTGTAGAACTACATACTTTGAGGCCATAAGAAATTTGTCTTTATTGACCGGAAACATAACATACTTTAAATTGAAAAAATTCTGACAGTATCCAAAATCAATTCAAGGAGCATGGAATCCTTTAAGATTACATGCAATCATATCCATCTACCCTGAAAAACTTGGGAAAAACCTACAGACTCGTACAAAAAGTACCTATTACTGTTTTACCCCTAATAACACCGAAAACATTTAGGTGTATAATATATCCAAGTGGTGTAGATTCGAATCTCACCAGTGCGACAGGATTTTTATTTCTGTACCTGAGGGCCAAACAGTATTAACTTACAAAAATTAAATTTCACAGTTATACAATTTGAAATTTTTATAGACTGTAGAGAGTTATTGTAAGTTCACTTCTAAAATGGTAACTTCTAATGCCTCTTCCATATTAGGTACTATTATAAACAACAAAAAAGATGAACTGTCATTTAAAATATTTAAAATGAGGTTAGAAATATGTATAAAGACAAGGACTCTAAAGTCAAAATTTCAGGATTGCAATAAGTCTTATTTTAGCATGGAATTTATTTGCCTCTAATTACGTTGTCACTAATAGTGGCTAACGTTATAGAAATTTGCAATATCTCACTAATAAAGTAAGACAAAATAGTTATTTATCAACTATTTAAAATATATATAAACTTAGTAATATAATGCGGATAGCGTCAAATTTTCCTTTTTCAAACTTTTGGAGTTAATACTATTGGGCTCTAATATTTGGACTTATATATTGTATAATATGGACAATAAAATGCTGTGAGCGTATTCTAAAATTATTTTTATTGATTGCAAGGTAGAAAAAAGTACCATAAACTAAAGATAAAATAAGAAATACCGTTGATTATAAGATATCGTTAATTGCCTTATCAGAATGAGCCAAAGTTTTGTAAAAATTGTTGAGATACTTGGAACCCACGGCAATAAAGACTGGGTGGTTATATTTCTGAAATTTCTGAAATTTAATTTGAGTTCTCACATATTTGCGGCAAAATTTATGAGATGGACACAGTCAAAAGTGATTGCCTTAAAATGTATTTTAAAATACAATACGCCTATATTTTGATTATGAGCTTGTTTGTAGGTGAACTACGTCTGACATACGAAAAGTTTTTCATTTTACTCAGTTTTCTTAGGTACTTACTACAAACCGTGAGCTATTAGAAGTGTACAAAGATCTAAAAGCTTTAAGGTCTAATATTAACTATATTAACAATATTAGAAGGTTGTGACCGGCAGCACAGCCTTGCGAGTTGTTGTCAGTCCCAGGGCGTCATTACAAAATTGGGGTCGTGTTCTTTTCCTCTCAATGGAGGAATGGTTGCCATCGACCTTCATATGCATATGGCCACGTAGCAGAAATTTGTGGTTAATCTTTTTTATATTTGGATACTTTTTTAAGATCCATAAGTAACCATTACCATAATCATATTACGGTCTTGTGATGGGCAGTTATCTGACCAGATGGTAATCTCTTGTTCGCTTTCTCTTAAAGCCTCTGCCCATTTGAGAATGCCAGGTGCCATTTGATTTGCGTCACATCCAGACTTGGATTCGTCCCACATGATGATACACGTTGTAACATTTTCAGCAGAATCTGATATAGTGTAGTTGTATGTCCACAACTTGAGTTTGTAAGTACGGAGTTTGTAAGTACGGACGTAGGTAGACATTTTTGTAGATCCACAGCAACACATTTTAGTTTTCCATTACTTTGTATGATTGTAGTACTAAAAACTTCTTAATATTATGATCTCGAACTCATTGTTTTACGAATTAAGAAATTTTTTTTACCGAGATGTGTTTACTTCTTTGATCATCTTTTACTATTCCACCATCCGATTTTTTTCGAATTGCCGTTGTGACAAAAGTTTCTGCAATATTTAAAGTTGAAAGAAAAAACTTTTGGGAAACATTTACTAGAATATCGTTAACATAAAAAAAATAGTTTCTGGTAAAAGGCCTTTTACCAGTCCGATTTCCATTTGTTGCACGTATACGCATTATTGGAAGACACTCTACCATCATTGCGTTCGGTCTGCCACGTTCTTTTAACTCCTTTAACACTTTTTACTCCAAACGACCCTTTTAGCGTTCGGTTTAGTCCGATTAGTGACAGTTTAACATGCTTAAATGTCATTTAAAAGCACCCTAAAAAAACTCCGCTTTTGTCCCGCTCCAGCCCCTGACTATCCGAACTCGCCTCATAGAGGCAACAAACTGTCGTTTTAAATCCATACTTTTATCAGTATTCTAAAACATTGAATGCAGTGGCGTGCGGTAATATTTTTCGAAGGGGAAGCGATAGTATAAAAAGCACAGCGCCGCAGACGAAAATTTTTCGCGGTGCATTCACCATTTTGTCAAGATCTTACTTGTTTTCCTCAGTACTACGGATATTCGAGATTGAGATTTTTAAAGTATTACTATTACTTTATTACCTAGTTTAGTACTAGGAGCTATAAAAAACTTACCATTGAAAAGCTTCCCTGGTTTATTTAAACGTAAAAAAATAATTTAACTGAAGTTTTTTTTTATTTTTTTCAGCATTTTTCGCACAATTGACACAACAGTTGACATTTAATTATACTTGACATCTATTCCCCCATCCTCAATAGCTGCAAATTTGTCTATAACATCGTCGTAAAATTTTGGATTTGAAACTGTTTTTCAATAAATATTAGGGCTAAATTAGAGAGTCTGTCTTCACTTGGTTAATTTCATAAAACTTTTAATGCGCTTTAAAGCTGAAAAACTTCGCTTAACTGACGCACTTGTGACTGGTATGGTTAGTACTAATTCACAAAACTTGACGACTTCACAAAGGTACTTATTTAAACCAGTTGTTATAAGAAAATTTAACACAGTGATGGGCGTTTTTTTATCACTAATTTTAGTTGTTTCATAAATAACACTTAACTGGGACTTTAATGCTGGAATATCGTAAAAATTTCCATAATTTAATTATAGTGAATTAAAAGCTTCCGATGGAAATTTTGATGAATCGTAGTTACTAATATTAAAATTGCACAATTCAACAAATTTTAATTAGTTAAAGTTTTGAAATCGAGAGTTCATTTGTTGTAAAATATTATCAAACATTTTGGCGTATAATCGACGATAGGAGGTCTCTCTGTCGCCGACATTATCAATTCTAATTCTCTTTCTTTTAAGTTCTAAGCCAATCTTTTGAGTCTTATTCCAAAACTGATCTCGTTTTTTATTCATTTTATTTTTAAAATCATCAATTTGTTTAATGCAAAAGCCAATGTCATTTGACTTTGTCTGTAAAATATCGAATAAAATGTCAGTAAAAGGGAAAATCTCTGCAAAAATGTTGAGCAAAAAATTGAAATCAAAGTTTTGTTTGAGCCAATGCAAATACCTTTTAGCAGCAGTAACAGTTTCAGCATCCCGTGTTTCTTTATTATCCCAAACGTCTTGAAAGAAGTTTATCAAAGAATCACGGTATTGAAACACTGTTTGCACTAAACGTCCATTGTAGTTCCATCGCGTCGGAGCAACTTTTGGAAACCTTCTTTGAACGTGAATGTCCAAAGTGCGAGTTCTTTTCGATGACTTTGAAAAGAAGGAAGCCAAACCACTAAGCGTCGAAAAGAAAACTTTGCAATCTTTAATATTATCCATGCTTCGCGATGAAACCAAATTAAGTCTATGTGCTATACAGTGAACGAAAATTGCATGTTTAAACTTCTCTTTCACTTTAGCTTGAAGGCCTCTTAAATGGCCAGCCATTACGGCAGCACCATCGTAGTTCTGGGCAACAAGCTTACAACCACATTCTAAACTTGAAATAATGTCACAAACAATTTTAAACAATGCATCTGCAGTTCGTTCGCTAGTGACGTCCAAAAATCCTAAGAATCGCTCTTGAGGAATGCCATCCAATACATATCGCACAACAATGGATAATTAACTTAAGTTTGCTACATCTGTGGTTTCATCAAGCGCAATTGATACGAAAGGTGCTTTTTTAATTTCACTTTTAATGTGATCCATCACAACGTCGACAGTGCATTTAATTAAATCATTTTGGATTCTGTTTGAGGTACCTCGGAAAGTCGTCGAATCAATAAAATAATTTTTTAGGGAATCATCGTATTTTGCTTAAAAACTTAGAAGGTCGATGTAATTTCCTCGATTGGCGGATCCACTTGCTTCATTGTGAGCCCTAAAACTTAGTTCATGCTCTCCCAGGAAACAAGTTACATCTATTACTCGTTGTAAGACGTCCCTATTTTTTACCCCTTTATTGTGAATTTTGTTGCTTATTTTTAAATGATTGTCCAAACTATGTTCAATGCGATAGGTCCCGAATGTTTTTTTTTTAATTGTAGCAATTATATGAGATTTGCTATTTACATGTCGTTTTACACTTTTGTGAAAATTATTCAAGTCTGTAATACCGACTGAGTTCCAAAGTGTTTTTTCGGCTATACTAAAAAGTAGGCAAGCCCAGCAAAACAATTTCTTCAAAGTTTTGCAGCCGGTTAACTATTCATACTTTTCGTAGAACCCTACGTGAAAATGCCTGCTAAATTTATTTGCTGACTTTTCTACTTTCGTCTCTAAATTGATAGGATCCTTTAGTCTACTAGAATTAATAATGTCCGTTTTCTCTTTAAAATTTCTACTTGAAAATCCTTTTTTCAGTAAAGGGCACACAATACAGACACAATTTACCACATTATTATTGCTCACAGGCACAGTGCATAGTTCCTCCACTTTACAAAAAGAAAAAAAACTACGAAAAACAAACCGAAATCTATCTGAAGTCTACGATTTTCCTCACACGTCAATTCGCGGTGCCAATTACAATATGCGTAAGGCGACGTAAAAAGCGCTGCCCGTATTTTACGTACCCAAACAGACTGACACTGTCGCGGCAAAGCAGGGTCAATAACACGAAGTGAAATCAATTGGAAGATGAGCCGGCTTTTTCAAGACGCGCTTCCGCCGACAAGTATATGGTGTGCGTTTACATAATTAATTTTCTCATGGATGGTGCATGCGTTTACACATTACACCAATGAATTGTTAGTGCATTTACGAAGTTTACGTAATGTTTCAAAGAAAATATAGTACCTAATTTAATATTAATTTCTATGCATTGTAATCTGAAAAATATTTAATTTTTAAATCTCAAAGTGTAGGGAAGCGGGGCTTCCCCCGTTCCCATGGACCGCACGCCCCTGAATGAATGAATGAATAGCCTGTCTGTGCTCTTCAGATATTTTTGTCAGACATTTTATATGACTGGTATCTTTACATGACAGACCGACTTATTTTGCTTTAATAATGCCGCAGTTATTTTTTCTATCTAACCCTCCTACAAACTTCCTTAAACTAAATATTGTATTAGGTCCACACGAAAAATTTATTAACAATATTAACTCCATAATACTCTTTTGCTAGGAAAAGGTTGAAGATATCATACTGCTTAATTCTACATAACTACAAATGTAAAATATATAGGTCCTAATAAGTACTATTTTCCATGTGAAAGAGCATGTTTTGTTTAGTGGGACAAAAGCTTAATACCGATTTAAAAAAAAATGGAGTTAATACAATTTGGCTCTCAGGTACAAATTTAATTTAATGAATCGTACTGGTATTATTAACTCGTTACATGAAAGCCCTGTAATTTTTTTCTCAATATGTCATGAAAAGACAAATAAATGTTTTAAATTGAAGATGTTTTAAATAATAATAATCAACCAAAACACTAATTATTGCAAACATAATAATTATAAAGATGGCGAAATGGACTATTTATCGAGTTAAGCAATAGGTAGTATAAGTCGCTTTCTCGTTGGTAATGAACTTAATAAGTTAAATGGTTATTGACGATTAAACAAGCATACATAACACAATTAATTAATAATGTAGATCGCGCAAAAAAATCAGATCACGGTTAAATTAAAAAATAATGCAAAAATATATTTTTATAGCCTAATTAATTATTATAATTTAAAGATTGCATTAAAAAAAAACAAAAAAAAGTTGCGATGGCCGGGAATCGAACCCGGATCAACTGCTTGGAAGGCAACTATGCTGACCATTACACCACCATCGCACTTGGAAAATTGTTTTTATAATTCACAATTCCACTAACCATGACATATTTTAATACAATGTAAAATTAAATTATAAAAAAAATCACTTACGACTTACGATGTCATTAATAATAGTATATTATGCAACGATCATGTAATGATGGTTATTAATACACGAGCATTAACCGGGATACGAAACGAGCCAAAGGCGAGTTTCGTATGGTTTATGCGAGTGTTTTAATAACCATTACATGAGAGTTGCATACGCTATTTTTTCTACACCCGATAAATAATCAAGACCTATAAATATTATATTTATATTGGTATTGAACACAATAACAGTAATTACTCGTATTTCTATAAAAAATTCTACAAAATTGTAATTAATGGTATTACTTCAGGTATTGGTATTTCCCTAGATTTTTGCGGTAAAATATTTTGTACTGTATTTTCTGCTTTCTCCGATATGTGTGGAGGAGTCTTCTATATCGCTAATATCAGACATTTTAATATTATAATTATCGAAGTTTAGCTACCTACGAAAATTTAATACGTTTTGACAACTAAAATAATTACATAGGAACCTAGGACAAACGTCAAACAGCATGCTTGATTGAAAA